CAGAACCACTGGTAGTTTCGAACTGCTGACCTTGTTCACAGCCCGATTTGGAACCACTGTGCTACCAGAGCTCGTTTAGTCTTGTTAGATGCCTTCAAAAAATAGAATACTCTTTATGCCATGGGAGAAATGATTTTGAAGTTACAGCTAGTATCAAATTTTTTCAAAAAACTTAAGTGAAGCTTTGCAACAAGTTTACAGGAATGCTGCCCCACATAAAAAAAAAAAAAAAAAAAAAGCTACTTTAGATGAATTAAGTGTTTTAAGGAAAGCAGAGGTCACAGCTCAGAAGGTTGTGGCATCTGTTTTTTGTGATTTCAAAGGACTAATCTGGATAGTAACCTCAGTCTGGTAGCATAGTGGTTACAAATCGGGCTGCTAATCTCATTGTCAGCAGTTTGAAACTACCAGCTGTTCTTTCTGCTCCCGTGAAGATTTACAGCCTCGGAAATCCTGTACAGGGTCGCTATGAGTCAGAACACAGCACATAACAACAATAACAACAATCTGGATAGGTTGTTTTTTTTGTTTTGTTTTGTTTTGTTTTAAAGAAACAGGACAGCTATGGGGCTTATTATGAAGTTGTTTTAAGGAAATTGAAAAGTGCAAATGAATTGTTTTCTATCACAATGCCTTGCTCATACTTTAAGGGTACCAAGGACTGTCCTAAGAAAATTTCGTTGTGAAACCTAAACTCCACCAACCCTCTGGTGCTATCATGCCCCTTCACTTCTTTTTGTTCCCCAAATTCAAAGAACATTTAAAAGGAACATAATTTGAATCCCCTGAGGATGGAAAAACTGTCATTTTAACATGGTGTAACTTCAAGTGTAGAATTCTACAGGGAATGATAAGCTCCATTGCAACTAAGTCAATTCCGACTTGTAGTAACCCTACTGAACAGAGGAGAACTGATCCTTTGGCTTTCCAAGACTGAATTGTTATAGGAAGATAGCCTCATCTTTCTCCCAGAGTGGCTGGTGGCTCTGACCTGACAATCTTTAGTTAACCCAATGCTTACTTCACTGTGTAACTTCTGTTTCTTTCAGGGAAGGGCTACAGGAATGGAAACACCACGGTCAGAAGTATATAGACCTATATAGCTTGACTTTTTGATATATTTTATCAAAGGTTTCTATGATTTTGTGGAAATACTTTTTTACTTACCCTTGTATATAATGGGCATTACAGGGATTGGTTTCTAATTATGGGTTATAAGTTAGTCAATGGTTTGTAACCCTGGGGACTGCCTGATACTTGAGGATAAGATACGTTTTCCTTGACTATTTAGAATTTTCTTTTACCTTTATTTTTATTAGTAAGTAATAACTATATTGTCATTATAAAATTGAGCAATACAGATAAAACTGAATTTCCCTTTGAATAAAACTTAAATCCTAGTCATGATTTCATTGGGTAACTCAGCATGCTCTTTTTAGGCTTTACCAACGTTTTGTTTGCAAACTGTTTATGTATGAAATTTGAATAGCCTTTTGCTTTTTTCATTAATGGTTTCATAATAAGTATACATTTTACTTTTTCTAGTCTTCAATTTTTGCCAATTTGTGTGGAAAAAAAATACCTATCACCCTGGTGTTTTAATTTTTATTTCCTGATTACTCTGAGGTATTGATGTTTGTATATTTGACAGTCATTTATATGGGGGGACTTCAAGAAGTTTGTGGGAAAATTCCATTATCTCTTAATTCTATTTTAACATGAACTTTTTAAAGCTCTCATGTATATCTTTTTCCTGTAATGCTTATTTTTAACCTTTGACCATTTTCTGGCAATCTTGTAGCTTTTTAAAAATATATAGATTTGATATCCTCATCTTCATTTCATTGCTTGATATAAGAAAATGTGAATATTTTTCTTACCCTGTGTGGCATTTGTGGGTTAATGTGCTAGACCTCAAAGTTGTTTGAACCACAAGTTGGCGATTCAAGCTCACCAACAGCTCCTTGAAAACCCTACACAGGGTTGCTATGGGTCGGAACCAAGTAGACAGCACTTAATAATCTGAATTATGCATTGCCTTCGTTTAGCTATTTAAACCTTTAAACTGTTTAAATTTAGAATACTTGTGAATGGCTTGAGGTAGAGAATTAATAATGGAATGAAATAGCTAGGTTTTTTTCCAAATAAGTAACCTATTGTCCTAACCACTTTTTGAATATTTCATATTTTTCTGTAGTTATTTGAAATACTCATCACAGATTAAATTCCTAAATATACACATTATCTGTTGTTTTTCTCTTGGTCTCTCTACACAAATTGCTTAATTCTATGTTAATGCCATACTTCTATGTTAAGTGCCATCAAGTCAATTCTGACCCACAACGACCCTGTATACGGTTTCCAAGGAGCAGCTGGTGAGCTTGAACTACCAACCTTGCAATTCAAACGAATTTGCAGTCTGACACATTAGCCTATAGTGCCACACCAGGAGGAAATGTGGTTTGATGGTAACTGGGACAAAATCCTCCACTATTTTTGCTTTTGCATACTCTTTCCTAGGTGAACTTTACAAGTTCCATGAAAAATCTTATTGGGATTTTAATTAGTGTTGCATTGTGCTTACAGATTAATTTGAAGAATATTAATTCTATCCACAAAATGCATCTTTTCACATTTATCAAAGCTTTTCCTTCACTAGATCCTTTATTTTTTATGTAGTCTTTTCTTAGTTTATTTCTACTTTTTTTTTTTTTTCATCATTCCTATTACCAATATTGGATTTCTTATTAATGGTCACATAATTACAGGAAGAAGAGGAAAGGCTATGAAGATGATGATTATGTTTCAAAGAAATCCAAACATGAAGAGGTATGTTTACTGCAAAGGTGCATCTTAAGTTATTCTGACTGCACATAGTGGTGTTACCATACTGTTGAGATTTATTATTCAGAGTATAAACAGAGGCTGAGGTTTTTTAAGGAGTCCCTGTTAAGTGCCGCAGAGTTGGTTCCAACTCATAGCAACTCTATATAGGGTTTGAACTGCTGATTTTATGGCTCGTAGTTCCGTGTTTATCCTACAGCTCCACACCAATTGGTCAAGTACTGGACTACTAATGGAATAGTTGACTAAGGCTCCTTGGAAGTGATGTTTCTGAAAGGTTACAACCCTGATAACCTGATAGAGTGCAGTTCTACTCTGCACCCTCATTGAGTCCTAATAGACTTGATGGCAAGTTAGAGTATCAACTTGGGATTTTTAAGCCTTCATTTCTTGCCCCCTTTTTTATGTACATTGCCCATTTTTAAAGGGATTTTTCTTACCTCTGCTGTAGCCTTTTACAAAGCAGTATTCTAGCTCAATGAATTGTTTCCCATGTTCATAGAAGGCAGCAGGAATATTCATTCATGCTCCAGTACCTACTCTCTTAAGTATTTTTTTTCCATACAACTTTTTAAAAAAATACATGGTAAGTTAGAAATAATCAGGAGGAGCCAGACCACAGTTGCAGTCTTTGTTACTTACTGGAGTAGGATGATGGAAACATGGCATTCTTACTATAAGATTGAACTGATAATATTTTTCATAGTTTATTTACCTTCTGTAATCATCATAGTAAAAGGAGAACATTTTCCAAAAGTGAGGCACCTATAAAACCCACTCCCAGAGTTGATTCCAACTCCTCTATCCTGTATAGGGTTTCTGAGGCTATAAATCCTTATGAGAACAGAAAACCTCACTGTTCTCCCATAGCATGGCTGGTGAGTTTGAACTGTTGACCTTGTCGTTAGCAGTCCATTGCTTATCCTACACCACCACAACTAAAGTGAGGCAAAGAGGCAAAAATACTGATTATGCTTCAGTTTAAATATATGCTTACCATATATTTTTCCCTTAGGAAGAATGGACTGATGACGACCTGGTAGATTCCCTTTAATCATCTGAAGATGATATTTCAATGCTAATTAATCAAGAGAAAAATGAAGCACACCTGACAATTTTAAGAGACTGTGAAAGCATCAAAATACATTAATTTTTTAAATTTATGGTATTTTGATTTTTTTTTCAAGGTAGCTTTATCTGAAATAAAATCCCTTCAAAGGAGCTGTAATGTACATGTTTTTTTTCTTACCATCTTGCCATATCAGTTATTAGCAAATGAGTATATGGGGGCCTGTAGATACTTTTATAGATGGCTTCTCTTGCCATCCTGATATACTGAGCTGTGTGTTACTATTGGACTCCAGAACACATCCTGTTAAGTGTTATATGGCACTGAAAGCTGATCATCTTGTATAATAAATGTTTTCCTCAGCTATAGTAAAATCTTTCCAAATGGGTTAAAGGGAGAAATCAAATATGAAGTCTTTGAGTAGCTGTGTCTACATAAAAATCTTGTTGCTATAGGTGAGTTGTTATTAAGTACCATCTAGTCAGTTCCAACCCATAGCGACCATGTATAGGATTTCCGAGGAGCAGCTGGTAAGCCTTAACCACCGACCTTGCAGTTCAAATGGCTTTGCAGTTTGACATATTAACCCACAGTGCCACACCAGGACTCCATGTGTGGAGTGGACAGCGCAAGCTGCTATTCCATCTCCCTGTTCCAAAAATCCATTTAATATATTGTTCTCGGTTAGAGGACTTATTAAATACAGGTGAGTAGACAGATTATATATTCATTTTTATAATTAACCTATTAGAGCACCTGTACATAAAGCCATATAAATGTTATGCCTATAGCCATTTTCTTTTAAGTATCTTTAAGACATTTAAATTAAAATGAGTTTATACAGAAATATGCCAAATGATTTAGCTATTAAATCATTACTGCCTCTACCTCACTCTGTAACCTTGGGCTTGGACAACTTTGTGCCAGTTTCTCAAAATGAAAATGGAGAAAATAATGCCTGCTCATAATAGTCTTAATGCCTACTTCTCAGAATCAATTACAATAAATCCTTGCATAAAGTAAGTGCTTAATAAACGTTAGCTATTAAAGTATTTGTTCAACTTAAAAATGATCTTATTACTCAGGTTCTAAATTGGAACAAAATTGTAAATCACTCTATAATAAATATTAGACCAATTTTTTTTCCTGGAAGACAGCTGAAAGAATTCTAAGAAACACAACTGCTATTGATGTTCATTAAATTTATTTTGGATATACACACACTTCCCTTCAATCCCAAGTCATCTCGGGCTGTGCTTTCCATAGAGTGTAAGTACCATTTTAATTTGATCTTAGTATATGAGGACAGTGTTTACCACATGCATATACTTTGAAGTCTTACATTCCAAGTGTTTTCGGTTTTCCTTTCTCACACTGGGATGAAAGGAATAAATTTACATGGAGTGGGATTTCTAAATAGTAGAGAAAAACTGGTTTAAAATCCCCCAGTGTAGTACAGGATAGGTAAAATTGGTTACTAGGGCATAGACAGAATTGCAAAAATGTTTACAATTTATCTCCTGTTTTCTTTTTATATCACCAAACTTCCCACCCTACTCCTCTGAAAACATTTGTATTTGAGACACTGACCAGCTATTTCCTGCAGATCCTACAGAGGTTAAGTGCTAAGTCTCCCCTTGATGTGAGCATAATTCAAATGTAAATAAAGGGTAGAAGCAGCAGCAGGTAGCAGCTCTTCAGGTGATCACAATAGTTTGGGCTGAGATTCTATGAATATTTTAGGGAGAATTGAGACAGGGCAGGAAGCATAGGGAAGGAAGTCTGTAGATTGATGTGTGGTTAGTGGGAGAGAAGCTAACTGAATAGCACTACAGTTTGGACCATTTTACATGCTGCTCACAGTTTAGGAGATACCACTAATATATATATACTTTCCTATCCTCTGCCCTGTAAAATTAGGAAAAGTAACCCTACTTGTTATAGGATACTACTGTGGTAGTTCAGTTTAAAAGCAGGAACACTGTATAAGAGGGGGGAGGAGGGGAAGAAACATGATATAGAGACAAAAAAAAAGGAAACAATGAACTGGCATCATGGTAGAACCACAGATGTGTGGTGAGTTTTAAGTATCACTGTTGAACTGTCATTGAAACTGCATCAGTACTAGCTTTCTCAATAGAAATAAATGTCTTATCGCATTAAACTGTATTAAGCAAAAATATTTTAGGTGATTTTGCTAGTTAGCATTTTTTGTTTTCCTATATTTATATACCATAGGAACAGAGTAATAATGCGCTTCTTGTTTGGAACTAGGTATTTAAAGAATTTTCTATTATATTGAAGAAATCCTTTTTAATACCTCCCTTAGCTCCTAATTTATCCACCTGGATTAATGATATTCTGCCATATACTTTTGTCTTCCCTGTATTATAGTGGTCCTGGTGTGGCACTGTAGGAAAAGTAAGGTCGGTATGAACTGCAAGGTTGAAAGTTCAAATTCACCAGCCACTCCTCAGAAAACCCTATTCAGGGTCATTTATGAGTGGGAACTGAATAGATGGCACTTAATAACAGTACAGTTATGGGAGGGAATAAATTGTTTAGCAAATACAAGGGGGCTTCAAAAAGTTCATGGAAGTATTAACCTTTTAATCCCATTTTTCCATAAACTTTTTGAAGTCCACTTGTATATACTGAACAAGTAAATGGAATCTTGAAAGTGACCCATTAGCAAAACACACTGAATTGAAGTTTCATCTATCCCCTGAGATCTGCTCTGGTGCTAAAGTTTAACCTTCCTCTAAAATAGGTAGGAAATAAGATTAAATGCCTAGCTATATGTAGACAGAAATAATTCATTATATAAGATAACCCTTATTTTTATTTTAACTTAAATTTTGTGAATATTACACAAAAATACACATACAGAAGCAAATGAAACTATACAAGCTAAATATCCAGCAGATACAACATGTAATTAGAAATTTAAAGATGGAGAAATTGTAAGTGGCTGGTGATACATGAAGGGGTACTCAAAATCAACTTGGAATTAATTATGTTCAACAAAAGCATTCTTTTATGTTTGTTTCACATACAAGGAAATTGATAATCCATAAAATGGTTGAATGGGTACATGCATTGATCATACAATGGTCAATAATATTTATTGAATTCAAATGATTTACTGTTGTAAACATTTAACAAAAACATGAGATCTAGATACAGTCTTTGACAATTCCAACAAAATAAGTGGTATGTTTAAAAAATAAAGCTGATGAGCAATAGATCCATTCTATATACTTTCTTTGAACAGTTCCAGCAAGATAAATCACACAATATTTTAAAAAAGTATACAGGAAAGATTGTTTTTATTGTAACGGCAAACTCTGGAAACTGTAAATACAAATAAAGTCATTGAACAGTCAAACGGTCATATTCCTAAACAGGAAAAAATTACAGTAAGAACAGTCTGTAATCCAGTCAATTGTCAAGAGAGAATGCTTTTTCTTGTCAGTTGATTTCATAGTTCTTTTCCCAAGAGACAGCAAAACTTTGGCAACTGGATATATTGAAAATATATTTTCAAAGTTCAAGATACAGTCATATCATTTTGTTTTGTGAAAGGTGATCTGTACACCAAGGCTCAGAGGTTGGTAAAGATTGAATCCATGTGGAAAAAGTGCAAATATCCTGCACAGATAGCTTACAAAGCTGCTGGCACAGTTATTCACCAGCAGCATCTTGGATTTTGTTTGCATAGTTCACACATCACTGGGAATGTGGAAAGGTGTGCTGTTTTTTGGCAAGAGCAAAGGAGACATTATACTGATGTGAATTACCATGATAGGCATGCTGGATTCATGCAGAACACTGAGGTGAAGGCTGCTACCTGACATCATTGGTTTTTGTATACTGGTTTTGCTTTTGTTGAAGCAGTTCTGTTATTGCCAAAAGCTTTTTCAGTACATGCTAGACAGAAGGGGAAAAAACAGTATGAAAATAATAAGTAAAAATAGAAAAAAAATACATATGACAAGTCAAAGGAATTCATACAATATAATTAGCATCCTACCAAAACCATAAACTTTCGAAGGTTTCTACTTACTCAGTCTTAATATTTTTGGTCATAAGCAATATAGAGAACTTTTGTAGACTGTAGTGACTAGACATTCATTTTTATCTGGCATTCTGATTATCTATTCAAGCTCAATTGTCTAGGCTAGACTGTTTTGCCAAAAGGCAGATTTGTCATTGTAAATAACACGTTGTTAGTGTCCTCGAGCTGCTTCTGACTTATAGCGACCCAGGGCAGGGTTTCTCAAGGAGTGGCTGATGAGTTTGAACCACCGACCGACCTTGCGGTTCAAACCAACCAGCACATTAACCTGCAGTGCCACACCAGGACTCCAAATAACAAAGTACTGATATCAAATCACAGAAAACTATTAAAAATATCAAAACATTAAGTTTTTGTTTCTTGACATACCCTCCCAATCTAGGTCTATACACTTCTGAACTCAATGTTTCTATCTCTCTAAGCCTTCCCTATAGAATTCTGTGCTATTCGATTTAATACCACAACAAAATCCTAAATTTGGCATCCTTGAAATGTTCTTTGGATTTGAGGAACAAAAGTCTGAATGGGCAAGATCAAAGCTATAGCTTATATGGGATAAGGTTTTTCCAAATAAATTCTTTAAGGGCAGCTCCTGCTTCCCTTGGAGAATAAGTAGGTATATTGTCATGATGGAAAATAATTCCTTGGCACCAATTCCTGACCTTTTTGTTACTAAGACAGTTTTCAATTTTCAAACTTTGTATTAAGTCCTCATAATCATCCTGTGCCCCATGAAAAATTTCCTAAAAATATCATCATCTATCTTGGATTTAACTGGCCCAGAAGAACCCCTTAAAAGTACAGTTTTCATTGGATCTTTTTGTTTTAAAAGGCACTCTTAACAAGATTAAGATAAATGCGTTACTAAGAGAATTTGTCTGCAGCTACCCATTAGTTTCAGAGACATATTTACACATATTTTGTTTGGAATAAACGCATGCATCTATGAACTGGCATCCTAGTAGCAATTCTAGAAGTGACAGAAGTGACTCCTTTCATCTAGAAAACTGTCCACAAGTAGCAACCTTTCAGTTGTTCTTTAAAGAACAAAATATAATTCATTTTTGAATGGGACTGAGCATGTTGAGAGAAAAGAATTCCTGTTGAAGAGCCTGCCTGTGACGTAGAGAGAAAAGGGTGAGATTATTAAAATAAAATTTTATGTATCTTCTTATTTAGTCTTCTACTCATTTCCTCTCTGGTGACCAGACGTGAGACCTGTACAGGTAAACACCCCCAGGGAAGGTACTGTGCGCCCTAGGTGGGCACCTAATCCAAGGAGGAGAAAACAGAAAGAGCAAGCACTAACAGTCTCTTCCAAATCAGTCCTGGGCAGCTCTGGACAAGCTCTACTTGGAGAAGCAGCTGAACAGACTTGAGGACAAATAAAAAAGAGGAAAAGGAAAGAAAAAAGCTTGTGATAGGGCAGAGAGGCACAGCAGAACCATCTTGAAATTTCTCACGTGACTATGAAGGCAAGATTCATTAACATTAGTTGGGTGCTAAAAAATTGATCTTATTTTCCACTGTTGTTTCCAGGTAGTTTTTTATTTTATTATTTTTTTCCCAGTTTTATTGCATTTATGTATTTTTTTCGGGTCTTTTTCTTTTTTAGTTTTGATTCTTGCTCCTTATTCTATCTTGTGGGAATGTTTTCTCTTTTTGCTTCACCTGACAGGAGACAGCAACTGTGGCCACACAGTCAAGCTACTACTGCATCATCTAAAACCTTACTGATTGGGCAAGAGTCAGTACCAGCTGCTATATACCAGAACAAAGACAAAAACCAACATCTGCCAAATCCACTCTAAATGGACTGTGTGAACAGTGAATTTTCTTGATCATACCCACCAGGAGGCAATTTATGAGTGCCTAAGAATACAACCTGGTAGTGTAGTGGTTACGAATCGATCTGCGAGCCGCAAGGTCAGCAGTTAGAAACTACCAGTTATTCAGCGGGAGAAAGGTGAGGCTTTCTGTTCCCGTAAAGATTTACAGCCTCGGAAACCCTGTACAGGGTCGCTATGAGTCAGAACCAACTCCACGGCACATAACAACAACAACAAGAATACACCAACATACATGCATCAACTTAATACAAATACAACACTGCCACAATGCCTAAAAACTGCAGAAATTTTCTGCTCACATGCTGAAACAAGATACAATAGCTCAAACAAAAAACCAAGAGGAAGAGCTAGAAAAGGCTTCTGAGGAAGAGGCGGCTCTGGAACTACCTGAAAAAGAATTCAGGTATATCCAAATGTTCCCCAGAAAGATCAAAGAAAACAAAGAATTCAGAAAAGCACTACAGAAACAATCCAAACAAAATAGATACAACAATGGATGCAATACAAAACCTGCAAACAGACGTCCAGATGTTCAATACTAAAATATCAGAAAGAAATGATACATTAAATGCTCAAAGGAGCAGAACTGAATCAATGGTACCCAGAATTAGTAAGCATGAAGATAAATCTCTCTATACTGCTAAGACAGAAGAACAAACAAAAAATAATTTAACAATCTGAAGAAAGCCTGAGTCATGTGGAATGAACAACAAAAAGAAATAACCTACAGGTAACTTTCATTCCAGAACACAAAGAGAAAACCACAGAAAAGAAGGTCTAAGAACTGCTGTATGAAAATTTCCCTAAATCATGAAAGTTGAGAAGGTAAGTATTCAAAAAACTGAACAAACTCCAGGCAGGACACACCCACAAAGAAAATCACTAAGACATATCTTAGTCAAACTCCAAAATCAAACACATGGGAAGAATCACCTTGACCTCATAGATTTGTACAAAGCATTCAACCCAACAGCACAATATCAATTCTTTTCCAGTGCACATGGAACATTCTCCAGAACAGACCATGTATTAGGCCACAAAGCAAGTCTCAATACATTTTAAAACATCAAAATACTACAAAACATCTTTTCAGATCATAATGCTACATAACATTTTAAATCAGCAATAGGAAGATGAAGGAAATAAAATCAAATACACAGAAACTAAATTAGTAGCTAATGGGTAGTAAAACAAAAAGTGGAATTAAAAAATCCTAGAAACAAATGAGAACAAAAGCACAACATACCAAAACCTTTGGAAAACAGTAAAAGCAATGATAACAAGGAAATCTATAGCAGTAAATCCACACCTCCTAAAAGAAGAACCAAAATTACACATTAGCACATCTTCAACAATCAATCAATCAGATAAAGACCAACAAAGTAAATCTACAGTCACCAAAAAAAAAGGAATAACATTAGAGCAGAAATAAATGAAATAGAAAACAAAAAAGCAATAGAATCACCAAGAAAAGAAGCTGGTTCTTTGAAAGGATTTATAAAATTGACAAACCACTGGCATATCTAACAAAAGAAGAAAATGTCACAAATAACATGCATAAGAAACCTAATGGGTGATGTCACAACAGAACCAATGGAAATGAAAAGGGTAACAAAAGTATTATGAAGAATTGTACTCCAACAAATTTGAAAATGTAGAGGAGATGGATACATTTTTATAAAAACATCACCTACCTAAACTGAGAGTGAAGTAGAAAACTTGAACAGATCTTTAACAAATGAAGAAACTGATCAGGTCATCAAAAAACTCCCAAACAAAAACATCCAGGCCTAGATGACTTTACTGGTGAATGTCACCAAACATTCAGATTAGAGCTGACACCTATTTTTCTCAAACTATTATATATTATAGAAAAGAATGGAAAACTTCCTAATACATTTTATGAAGCAAGCATAACCCTTATACCAAAAATTGGGAAGGACATCACTAAAAACAACAATTATAGACCAATATCACTTATGAACACCAATGCAAAAATTCTCAGAAATTCTGAGTCAAGAGAATTCAACAACATATCAAAGAAATGAACATCATGACCAAGCAGGATACATACCAGGGATGCAAACATGGTTCAATAGTAGAAAAACAATCAGTGTAATCCCCTATATAAATAAGAAAAAGGAAAAGAACCACATGATCATGACGATTGAAGCAGAAAGGTATTTGACAAAATCTAACACCCATTACTGATAAAGCTGAAGGGAAATTTCTCAGCATAATTAAGAGCATATATACAAAACCAACAGCCAATAACACTCTCAACAGAGAGAAACTGAAACCATTCCCTTTGCAAACAGGAACCAGAAAACAATGACCTTTGTCACCACTCCTATTCAATATTGTGTTGGAAGTGTTAACCAGAGATATAAGGCAAGAAAAGGAAATTAAAGCCATCCAAGTGGAGAAAGAAGACGTAAAACTCTAGTTGCAGATGATATGACCCTATACCTAGAAAATATCAAAGACTCAGCAAAAAAAAAAAAAAAAAAATTATTGGAACTCATTGAGTCAATAAAGTGGCAGGATTCAAGATCATATACAAAAATTAGCTGGATTCCTCTATACTAATAAAAACATCTCTGAAAAGGAAATTAAGCCACCCAAAGGATGAGTAGGGTGGAGGGTCAGAGAAAAAGAGGAAGACCCCCAACGAGATGGATCAGCCAGGTGGCATCATTGATGGACTCAAGTGTGGCAGCGGTAGTGAGGTTAGCCCAGGATCGAACATTGTTTCGTTCTGCTGTGCATGGGGTCTCTAGGAGTCGGTTCCGACTCGATGGCACCTGACAACAACAACAAGGATGAAATACTTAGGATTAAAATATTTAGAAACAAAAGACCTATACTAAGAAAATGATTTAAAAAAAAAAAAAAAAGCAACACATTACTACAGGAAATCAAAAGACTCATAAAAATGGAAGAATATACCATGCTCATGGATAGGAAGACAACACTGCAAAAATGTCAATATTCTCCAAATCAGTCTACAAATATAATCCAAACCCAATCCAAATTCCAATAACATTCTTTAAAGAGATGGAAAAAAACATTCAAAACTTTATATGGAAAGGAAAGAGACATCGGATAAGCAAAGTACTGCTTAAGAAGAACAAAGTTGGAGGCTTCTCACTCCCTGATTTCAAAATGTCCTACACAGCCACAGTGGTCAAAACAGCCTGGTACTGGTATGATGAAAGAACAGAATTAAGAATCAATAAGTAAATACATACACATACAGTCAACTGATCTTTGAGAAAGAGACAAAATACATTAAATGGGGAAGCAATAGTCTCTTCAACAAATGGTGCTGGCAAAACAGTAAATTGATTTGCCTAAGAATGAAACAAGACATGTATCTCACACATATACATGGCAACACCAGCCATGGTATTTTCAATAACATCATATGCATGTGAAAGCTGGACAGTGAATAAGGAAGACTGTAGATGAATTGATGCTTTTGAGTTATGGTGTTGGAAGAGAATATTGAAAGTGCCAAGGGCTGCCAAAAGAACCAATAGATACGTTTTGGAAGGAGTGCAGCCTGACTGCTCCGTGGAGGCCAAGATGGCCAAACTTCGTCTCTCATACTTCGGACATATTGTCAGGAGGGACCAGTCACTGGAGAAGCATATCATGTTTGGTAAGGTGGAGGGTCAGAGAAAAAGAGGAAGACCCCCAAGGATAGCCAAGTGGCAGCATCAATGGACTCAAGCATGGCAACAGTAGTGAGGTTGGCCCAGGATTGGGCAGTGTTTTGCTCTGCTCTGCATAAGGTTGCTATGAGTTGGTACTGACTCGATGGCACCTAACAACAACACCTCTACAAGAAAATAGACAAATAATCCAATTAAAAAATGGGCACAGGACATGAACAGACACTTCACCAAGGAAGACATTCAAGGCAGCCAGTAAATATATGAAAAAATGTTCATGATTATTAGCTAATCAAAACAACGAGATACTATCTTACACTGGCCTAACAGCAAAGTTCAAAACAAGAGCTTTGTTTTGATGACAAGAGTGTGGAGAGACTGGGACCCTCCTATACTGGTGGTGGAACTTTAAAATGGTTCAACCACTCTGAAAATCAGTATGGCGCTTTCTCAGAAAGTTGGATACAAATACTTAATGAGTAGATAAATGCACACCAATGTTCATCATAGCACTATTTACAACAGCAAAAAGATGGAGACAGCCAAAGGGCCCATCAATGGAAGAATGGATAAACAAACTTTGGATCATGCACACAATGGAATATATATACAATCTTGAAGAATAAAAATGAAGCTGAAAACATGGATGAACCTTGAGGACATTATGCTGAGTGAAATTAGTCAATCACAAAAGGACAAATATTGCATAAGACCATTATTGTGAAATCTTAAGAAAAGATTTCCACACTGAAAGAAAAATTTGTTGATGGTTAATACAGGTGAGAGGGAAAACAGAATAATTCACAGGATAGGAGGTGACTGACGGTGAGGGCAATACACAAGGCAGGAGAGTGGTAGATGAACAATGAAGATAGGTGAAGACTTAGAGAGGTATGCATGGGCTACATGGGATAGAGGTAAACAGTGATGTATATACAACCTTGGAACAACAGTGCTCTGTGATACATGGATCAAGACAGTCTGAATGTGTAAAGGAGGGGAAAAATGTTTAGGGGCTTGACTATCTTGTGGATATTGGTTTCCCATGCCTACTATATTGTAAAACTACATTTTTAAGTGTGACAGAAATGAACATTGGGAAATATGATTACAGAAAGCTTGTAAGCCCACCTTCAGCCTTAACTGATTGGGTTAGATAAAAGGCTACTTAAAATTTGACTCCTGGTGTGGCACTGTGGGTTAAACCACAAGGTCGGCAGTTCGAGCTCACTAGCTTGCTTGCTCCTTGGAAACCTTACATTAGATAGCTATGGATCAGAACTGACTCAATGGCATTTAAACAACAACAGAACATGGTAAATAGACCTCTGTGGAGTAAGGGACTTTAGGTGGAATCCTGGACTGAGGTTCTTCTATTTGAAAAGACATGCAGACCAACCCAGAATGGCTAGATGAACAGAAAATACTTTATAAAAGAAGGACTAGCAGAAAAAAAGCAGACTGTTTGGCTGTTTGAGTATCAATCAAGCTGTTTGCCTTGGAGTCATCAAGGCAACAAAAGTCAGCCCACCAAGGAAAACCACCTTCTGAGACAAACTCAAAGAGAACCCATGAGCAGTCTAGTATGCTTGCTGGTGACCACCCTGGTCTACTTGTGAGCACAAGTGGGGAAAAGGTAGCAATGAACACATAGGCTGAGTTTGGCCATATTCCATTGGCACCCACTGAACTTGAGATGAGTGATAAGAGAGGAAGGGCTAGTTGGTCTGAAGATAAGCAAGATGTGTGAACTCCTGAGCCCATGCACACTGACCCAGCCTCTGGGGGCTAACACTAGCTAGCTGGTCTGACGTGTGTGCTTTAACGGCCAAATGGTACCTATTTGACTTTGCGCTTGGATGGCTAGGTGACCAGATTTCGAACCAAGGAAGATAAAGATGTTTGACGTGAGAACCTGTGCAAACTGCTATAATTTGACATACAAGACTTTTGCCTATCAAAATTCCAACCTCAATGGAAGGCAGGATTTTTCTTATCAAGGAACAATCTTATTTCCTCCATGTACTTAGCTGATGTTGTTGTTAAGTGCCGTCGAGTCGATATCAACCTATAGTGACCCTGTATAGGGTTTCCAAAGAGCAGCTGGTGAGCTTTAACCACCAACCTTGTAGTTCAAACGACTCTGCAGTCGCTGACATATTAGCCCACAGTGCCACACCAGGACTCCACTTAAGTTGATAGGGAGGAGAAATTTAGACACGGGTAAACAAAAATAAGGGAGTGGGGGCACTACAAAGGCATGAAGTCACTGGCTTACAGCTTTGACAAGTGTGCTTAGTTGCAGAATGGGGGAAGAGAGACACAGAGAGCAAACAGATAATTAAACATGGTCCTTCAATACATTGTCTACAAGACATATCAAAAAGATGGAGACTGCTTAAATACCCATCAGCAGAAGAATGGCTGAACACTTTGGTATATACACACAATGGAATACTACAGAACTTTGCGGAATAATGATGAATCTGTGAAACACCTCACAACATGGTTGAATCTGGAGGATATTATACTGAGTGAAATTGGTCAATCACAAAAGGGCAGATATTGTACGAGATCAATGCTGTGAAAAGTTCAAACGTTTTCTTTATGAAAAGAAACAATCTATAATGAGGGATTATTCATGGGCTAGAGGGTAGAAACAGCTAACATGGGTGACAGGGCAGGCAATATACAACAAGAGGAAGGCTAGCAAAGGAAAGATTAAAGTAGCAGGAAACACAGGGAAGAATGCAATAGATCAAGTGAATACAGGTAAACATTGTTAACTGTTGGTACATGGACGGGATTGCAACCATGTAATGAAGCAAAGTATGATTTGTTGAATGATTCAATGTAAAAGTGATGAATTGCTCTGCCAATCTTCACTTAATTCACAACAAAAAGTTGAAAAACTATCAAAATTCATTTTGTTCTCATCTCCAAGGTAACTATCATCAAGTTAAATATCTCCACTATCTTAATCCTGGTCCCTCCTCTTTGTTCTGTATCCTTTGTTCTAGATTGCAAAAATCTACCAGTGTCAGAGTTTCTTAATGTATGGGTCATGATTCACTTGCATCTGAATCCCGAGGAACTTGTTACAAAAGTAGACACACCAAGGCTGCACTCCAAAATCTACATCCATAGGGCTTGGGATATATATTTTTATCAAACTCCTCAATCACTATGGCCATTTAGTCTGTGTGTGTGTGTTAAGAGAGAAAAAGGAAAAAGTTGCATCACTATTTTGTTATAATTAACTCACTTATCATACGAGGGAGCTTGAAAGTGTTTGTGGAAAATGAAATTAAAAGATGATGGAATTTTTCCACGAACTTTTGGAAGCCCCCACACACATCAGTAAAGTGAACACCCACCACTGCTTTCTGGTAGAGTTAACATATGCGATTCAAAAACAAGATTTGGGGTTTCTCAGTATCAAAAATATATCACCTTAGTGTGGGTTCATAAATTATTCCATAGCAAAAATATTTTTCAGTTGATTCCAAGTATCAAAAATTTAATGTAAATGGTAAAATAAAAATGACCAGATTCATCTTTTTATTACCTCTGAGAGTATCATGATGACAATTCTCATTAAACCCTAATGAAATACTGTTGACAAAGACTGATGAAAACCTACCTGCTGTGCACCACGCTCATTACTAAGCGTTCGCAGTTCATCTGAATGGGCCACACAAATCTCATGCAATGCTGCCAAATCACGGGACAGGTCAGTTCTAGAGTGTTCTGTAGTGTCTGGAAGTTCAGGTACATTCTTTAAGGGAATCATAAAACTACTTTTAGAAACACAAATCTTCAGAGTCTTTGGTCCCTGAAAAGATCCTAACTGGTTAACACATAATACACCTATTCCTCACTTATTGACTATCCCATTATCTAACATTTCTCTTTATACAACACTTTACAATGATTAAAAAAAAAAAAGTATTAAACTATTTTGTATCTTAATGAGGTAAGTCTGGCAGTAATGAACACTGAGATGACAGTAACATTCCCTGTGATGGCTAAGGTTATATGTCAACTTGGCTGGGCATGATTCTCAGTGATTTGGCTGTTACATAATATCGATTTTCACATTAAAGATCTGGTCTCTGGAATCACTCATGTCGGTAAGTGTGAAATGAGTATACAGAAGTTTTCTCTTAAAATTCTAATATTGTTATCAAAATGTAATAATCAGTTTCAATTCTGATAAAACATAGCTTTCACAATCTCATTCACATGAAAACCAGGTTCCATTTTCTTCCATAGCATGGCAGAATACGGTATAACATTATTGCTATTAAAGAACTGCATTTCCTAAGAATTTGTTTTATAGCTGTAAAGACTTTAAATAAACAGTGTTAACTGCTTCTACAGATTAAATGCAACCTGAATTTCAAATTCTTTTACTTCTGCAGACTGAAGTTCATTATTAAGATACGGTAGTTTGTCCAGATACAGCAAGCATGTAAGAAGGAACTGCATTATGAAGGTGTGATGTGAATGTGTCAGGTCTGTAATTACCTGTGGACTGTGCCCAAAATATTTGTATGAAATGTTAATTATGCTATCTTTGTTGTTGTTAAGTGCTATAGGTTAACTTGGTTCCGACTCATACTGATCCTATACAGGGTTTCTGAGACTTTAAATCTTCAAAGGAGCAGAAAGTCTCCATTTTTGCCCACAGAGAAGCTGATGGGCTAGAACTGCGGACCTTGTAGTTCACAGACCAGTGCTTATCATTCTGTGGTAAATTTATAGTTATACATAGCTTTATTATTAGCACTAAATACAAATGTTTTTTCTAGCCTTGGAATAAAATTTAACACCTTTTATAATAAAATCCATTCCCCTCTTTGGAATGGTGGCAATATTCGCTATGCATTCCTAAAATGTGCAAAACACTCAATTTTCTATGGTACATTATTGTGAGTCATTAAGGCAATTTCAACTTGTAGTAACCCTGTATGACAGATTAAAACTGCCCCATAAAGTTTCCTATTCTGTAATACTTATGGGAGTAAGTCTTGAGGGGCCACTAGTGGGTTTGAACTTCTAACCTTTAAGTTAGTAGCCAAGTGCACAGACTAAGCAGAATGTAATTCATTCTTACTAATTCATCAACTGATTCAGATATTCACTTATTCAATTATGAAGGGTGGTTATAAAGATAATAGACACCACAGTACTTTCAGAGAATTTATGTATTATCTAGCAGAGAAGATATAGAACAAATTGCTTCAAGTGTTAATTACTAAAGATATACAGAGAATAATTAGAAAGCAAATGAAAGTTATTTAAATCTGGTTTGTTGTTGTTGTTGTTGTTGCTAAGTGTCGTCAAGTCAGTTCCAACTCATAGTGACCCAGGTATAGGGTTTCCGAGGCACAGCTTGCAAGTTTGAACCCCACCAACTTTGCAATTTAAACCGACCTTGCGGCCCAGTGCTTTATACTGCAAGTCAGCAAAGGTATCCTGAAGGAGATTAAGTTTGAAGTTAATCTTGAAAGATAATTATATTCATACAAGGGCAAAGGAAAATGAAAAGAGTATAAAGGGACTCAAAAAGTATTAGGATTATTTTTAAGTGCCATTGAGTCAATTCTAACTCATAATGAGCCTGTACAGGGTTTCCAAGGAGTGGCTGGTGGGTTTGAACCACTGACACCTTGTGGTTTGCAAGGCAGTGCTTATCCTACAGCACCACACCAGAATCATACTGCCTTCTGAAACTATGAGGGTGTTTCAAAAAGACTGTGGCAGAAAGAAATGAAAATATAATGGAATTTTTCCAAACTTTTTTAAGCTCCCTCATTGAGCATTCCTATGAAACTGTTCATAAGCCAAAATGGCACAAAGCATGTAACCTATATAAACAATTACCTCATATGACAAAAAGCTCAAAACATTTCCCCACATAAAGAGACAATTACCATGAATTTACATGGGAAAAAAATTTGAGCATTCCCAAATTCAAACAATAATGAAGCAGAGCATGTCAAAAACACATAAACCTACAATAATACTAACATATGGTAGTGGCTGTGTGCCGTGGAGTTAGTTCTGACTCATAGTGACCCTGTATAGGGTTTCCAAGGAGCGGATGGTGGGTTTGAACTTCCAACCTTGTGGTTAGCAGTCCATGCTTCTCCTACAGCACCATACATAATAAATAGTAGAAATCACGTATAAGGAGCTCTGGTAGCGTAGTGGTTACAAATCGAGCTGCAAACCACAAGGTCAGCAGTTCGAAACTACCAGCTGTTCCGCGGGAGAAAGATGAGGCTTTCTGCTCCCGTAAAAATTTATAGCCTTGGAAACCCTGTACAGGGGGGCGCCATGAGTCAGAACCTACTCCACGGCACATAATAACAAGAAATCATGTATAGTGTAGTTCCTGGGGAACAAGACTTGTGACACCACTCAGATTGCATGCTAACTTCTTAAAGAGTTTGCTACAAACAAACAATGAACACCAGGCTCATTTTTCTTCTAAAAGTGAAAATTCTCTTTGGATTTCTTTCGGCTAATGAGAACAAGTTTTGTTGTACATAAGGTCACTATGAGTCAGAACGGACTCAACAACAGTGTCATACATCTGACCTAAATTACATATACATTACAAATTTATTCTGATTAATAGAAATATAAACTGAATTATTTATGGTCCTTTGGAAATACAACCTTATTAAGAAACCAAGGAATCTTACAAACTATAAAATTATCCTAAGTGCCATTGAGTCGGTTCCGACTCATAGTGACCCAGGTATAGGGTTTCTGAGGAGTGGCTGGTGAGCTTGAGTATGTAACACCAAAAAAACAGCTATTTTATTTCTAAAAGACAGAAGAACAGTCCTTCTCCAGTCTATTTATTTCACATGATCACAACTATAACTGTTGTATGCGACTACTGATTCCAACTCACAGTGACCGTATATGACAGAGTAGAAGTGCCCATAGGGTTTCTCTATAGATCGCCCAGGACCTTTGTCTATTGTAGGCATTGATGGATTTGAACATCAACCTTTGGGTTAGCAGCTAAGTGCTTACTCAACCACTGTGTTACAAATCAGTTACAAAGCCCACATAGAAGCAGCAAATTAAATGTAGGTATAGTGGCATTGCCGGTTAATGCGGTAAACTGCAACGTCAGTGTGGGCCATTAAGGCCGGCAGTTCTACCTCACCAGCTGCTCCTTGGAAACCCTGTACAGGGTTGCTATGAGTCAGATCCAGATTGCATGGCATTTAACAACAACAACAGTGCTATAGGATAATCACTGAATTGAAAGGTCAGTTGAACCACAACGTTGATGGTTCAAACTCACCAGCTATACGTCAGCAATCCTATACAGGGCCGCTATGAGTCAGAACCAACTCAAAGGCATTTAACAACAACAAAAGAGGCAACAGGTATGTCACAGCAATTAGATGGGACTAAGTTCAAAGGCTGAGTTGAAAGGCAAGATGGAAAGAAACTAAAATGCTCACATAAGTCATCCAAAAGCACATATTCAATGTATGTCTGGTATAAACCATTTAGTGTTAAAAAATATAATCAAATGAAACTATAATTTGTTTAAAAAGGTAGACAAAAATTTGTAGCTTTTGTGGGATTTTTTTCTAGTACTTGATGGAAAAATCAATAAAGGTATTGCTTAAATGGGTTAGCTGCTGGTTATACTAAATACATGTTTCAAAGAACTTGAATACATACACCAAGTTCATCTAAGAACATAATCATACGATGCTTGTTACTTTTGATGAATGGATTTACTCCTTCCATATAGGGTTCCTAAAAAGAAAGAGATAAAAAGCTTGTTATATACATCAAACAACATAAATAACAAAAAAGCATGAATGCAGTTTTTTTTCTTATAAATCTAATTATGTCTTCAGTAGTGATGCATGTCTACTCAAACTATCTAATCATATAAGGCTATTATTTTCCTTCTAATATATAAGCAACAGCTACACTGAGGAACTGGGAGACTTTTTCATGAGAGAATGAGAAATTCTGGACTAAATCAGAATACATAGTTAGTTGACATAAACTGCTTGTTTTCAAATTCAGCAGAACATAATTCTTGAGAAACTATTATTTGCCAGACACCAGAATGAATGACTGGGAAAAAAATGAGGCTTTCTGTTCATGTAAAGATTTATAGCCTCAGAAACCCTATACAGGGTCACTAAGAGTCAGAACCAACTCGACGACATACAACCATAACCACCACCAAGACAAATATGGGTCGAAACTAGGAGTGTGGTATAGCAGGGACTACAGTGAATTAAAATACAGTGATAAAGATTGCAGTTGTGTGCCATCAAGTAAGTTCCAACCATAGCAACTCTATGTAAAGTTATTCAGATAACTTAAAAAGTTAAGTAAACTGCTTATCATTCTAATATCTACTATGATATAAAACAGAAGTTATTAATCTTAACACAATTCTCTTAAAATCACTAAAAAACTCAATGATATAAGGACCTCAACAGGCAATTCAAAAGCAATATTCAGACTCAAAGAGCCCTGGTATGGTGTTATAGGATAAGCATCAGACTAACAACCACAAGGTTATCAAACTCACCAGCCACCTAGAAACCCTATACAGGGTTGCTATGAGACAGAACTGACACAACAGCACACAACAAAGCGTAATAAAATAATGAAACATTAAGTAACATTATATTCATCTCATTGGCAAAAATTAAAAATATCAGTATCACTGAGTTCTCAAAGAACAGCAGTTCAAACCCACCAGCCACCTGGAAACCCTATACAGGGTTGCTATGAGACGGAACTTACACAACAGCACACAACAACAAAGTGTAATAAAATAATGAAACAATAACTAACATTATATTCATCCCACTGGCAAAAATTGAAATGATCAGTATTACTGAGTTTTCCAAAAATGTGGAAAGCAACAAATTATTACTGGTGGTCAATCCTATAGTACAAAGCAAAAGTCTTAAAATGTACATACTTCTTTATTTAGTGATTTTACTCCAAAGTTAGTTTAAGGAAATAACTGGATGAGTCTGAACAGAAGTATAACTAAGGAGACTTGTTACAGCAATACTTGCAATACTGGCAAGGGAAAAAGCATTTTAGTTACTCTAAATATAATGTACCCAAATGCTGGATAGTAAGTAATCATTCGGAGTAATAAAGTGGGCTACACATGTTTCCAGATATATGAAGAAGTTTTTCAATATTAAAGCACAAAGCAGGTGACATAGTATATACCAGAATATTAATAATAGTCAGTATACTTAGAGGTAGCAGAATCATGTAGATTTTTAAAATAACTCATCAGCATATTTTATGTGTAATGAATATTTACTATGAAATAATAAAACAGATTTGGATATGTTTAAAAATATTCTGATTTTCATATTTATATTTTGGAGAACAGAAGTGTACTGAATTGTGAAAACATAAGTTTCTATAATGGCTAAAGGCTGGTTTTTGAAATTTTACTATTAAAATGTAAAATCTATAGATATTTAAAAATACAAACATATCAGTGAAAATATAAATTTTCTTTATGAAAAAGTCCACTGTTGATAGTTCACGTAAGCTGTATTTTATTGTTTGATCATGTCAAAATTTCATTTATAAATCAAATATTAAATTATCAAAATGCTTTTACCTTAGCTCCAAACTCCACCAGATTTGCTAAATTCTGCACAGACTTAGCCACTAAAATCAATGTTCTTGCAGCAATAGGAGATGGGGAATCTATAAGAAAAATGAATTCAGCTACTCACACCAATTCCAAAGGTATTTCCTAATAAACCATAATGAATTTAGCACTTAAGTATTTCTTTACCGTTAAAATACTAACATTTTTCCATTCAGAGCTTATAATGTTTTCTGAAAAATATATGACCTTATAATTCAAAAGAACTTGAGATAAAAGGGAAAAAATGGAATGCATTTTTATCAGAACCTTTAGATTTATCAAAAGGGTACTACTACAGAAGTCAGCAAGTCCCAATTGGATGGTAATATTTTATATTATTTCAAAACTTTATCTTCATTGCTAAAAAGACTGTGACACTCCACATTCCTTTAAGGGCAATTGCTAAAACTAGTTTTAACCCATTCAGATTCACAATCTGCAATCGAAGCAAATCCCTGCTCACAACCTCTACTGACTACAAAAAATCCACTCTGTAGCTGACGAGTACAGATAACGTCTAGGATCTTTATATTAAGGGGAAAAAACATGAACTTTGATATTCTTTTTTAAAAAATCAGGAAGCACTTTCCAACATAATACATATTTCAGGAAATAATTAAAACTGTCTGGCTTTTAAAGTTGTTAAGTACCGTGGAGTCGGTTCCAACTCATAGCGACCCTGCACAGGGTTTCTGAGGCTGTAAATCTTTACGGGAGCAGAAAGCCTCATCTTTCTCCCATGGAATGGCTGGTAATTTTGAACTGTCGACCTTGTGGTTGGTTAGCAGCCCAATTCCTAACCACTACACTACCAGAGCTCCTTGACTATTAAAGTTAAGCCCTGAAATTTAAGGGTTTTATTTAACAGTAAAAGCCTATATAGTATACTTAACTGCCTGACTTTTAGAACATACTCAGCATTTTAACCAGCAACTATAAATATACTGCCTATAGATGCAGAGGCCAACATTAAAAATCAATCTATTCAAAAGGAGTACAAATCTTTAATTCTTAAGAGATTCAACCATTTTAATAGTTGTCCTGGTATGTAGTACTGGACTATAACCACAAAGTTGATTATTCAAACTCACCAGCACTCCTCAGAAATGCTATACTGGGTTGCTATGTATCAGAACCAACTCAATGGAACTTAACAACAATATCAAAATACAGTTACAGGTATGTGATGGCTACAAAAGTCATTTTCTAAAGTATTTTTAACTATAACACTGAGCTTCAAATTAGTAAAAGAAAAATGACTCGAAGGACTCTGAGTCATCACATTCTATTATCACAGATTTCAATTTTCTCAAAGTCTTCAACATCTGAGTTGTGTCCTAGTGAACATGTGGGTAATAAAACCAAATTATTGGTTAAAATTGATTTAGTAAAGTTTAATATGGCCAACCAACACTACAGAAACCAGGGTCTCTTTCTTCATAAACACTCACAGAACACTACAGCAACTGAAGCTTTCATTTTAATTTGATGGTAAGTTCCAGCTTGCACTGACAGTGACTAGCTCTTCCCAACTTGCAAAACCAAACTGGAGACTGGAAATAGCCATTATGATCAGAGTCTGAGACACAGTTAAGTGTGGAAAAAAAGTGGAATGTGTCCCATGATGCTATCTCAGGCTTCATATATTAGATAGAAAGGAAGGCTAAAGAACCAAAAAGGAAGAGGGGATAAAAAAAAAAGGAGGGGTACTTTGGAATGCTTTATAACTCAATGACGAATAAAAACAAAAATCAGATTTAACAGAAAAATTCAAGTACTCTTACTAAGTAGGATCATATGATTTCTTTAATTGAAAATTCATCAAAAACTAATTACCTGAGATGATATTAAACATCCGTGGATACAGAATAGCAGGACAGATAAGTCGAAGGAAAACAAAACCACTAGATAGGAAGGAAAATTTTTCTTTAGAAACTTGCATTTTTGTGATGTTAAAAATATATATATAAAATCATTTTTGAAAACTATTCATAAAATTAAACTACCGGGAAACCCCAACATACTTGTTTTGGAAAAACAAAAGAACCATAAGCTCAAGTATTATATATTAAGAAGATACATACTTAAAAGTATTCACTTTTCCTAAATCTGTAATTTTAGATTTACTTCTAGAAGATGTTAAGTCATAGTATTTACTATTCCAATTTCTTTTTAATGTTTTATTGTGAATTATAAGATAGTTTACATGGGAGAACATTAGTTTTACATTTATTCTATCGTATATCGTTTCAATGCCATGGTTCCAATCCCCTCCATGCGTCATCAACCAACCAAAGGTTATACCCTGCAAGCCTTCCCCCTACACTAACCCCTCCAGTCTTCAGCACACAGTCGCTCTCCCTCTCTGGATCTAAAGTCCCCAGCTGCTCCATTGCTCCCTGTCATCATCTCTGCCTCCATCTCAGGCATCACTGCTTCTCTGGGTAGGGTCCTGCTCTTGGCTCTCCCCTGTTGATGGTCCTAGGGACCTCCGATCCTAGACTGGAAAGTTAATCACTCCCTTCCTTGCTATAAAACGTCTACCTTTACATTTCCAACCCTCACAATCAGTTCTGATAACAATTATTCACTTTTGTATCATAAGAGACCCATCTGCATTTCACTTAATCAGTCCTGCCTAGACAGAATGGATACTACTCACTAGAGATTCTGCCTTCCTCCTGGCCCTATGGCTCTAGGTTCCCTCTTAAAAGCTTGTAAGCTTATCACTTCTTGCCTTTGTAGCCCCCCCTCGTCCCATTTTGGGTAGCCAATGTCCAAGTTGCCCATCCCTGTGTACTCTGTGTGTGGAGGGGGTGGGAATGATGCTTGCTGTAAAGATTTGTTCCCTCTTTTGAGCTACTGCTTCCATAGGTATAGGTCAAGTTCATCAAATTGTATCAGATGACTCTTTTTGTCCTCTTCTTTCTTCTGGTTGAGCTCTGATCATCCAGTCATTGAAGCCAGGTCAAGTGGGTATTATCTGAAAGTGTGGGTGTTCTTGTGCATATGCCCTCTTTTTGTCAGCTGAACGCTTCACTCTCCACATTGTAGGGCTTAGCTCGCCGCTTCATTGCTGTTTTTCTCTCACTTCCCTTTATAGGTGACGAGTGTGGCTATTCTGACTATTTTTTATTCCAGGCTAATGGAATCAATGGCAGTGAATTTGGTTTGGTTTTGGAATGGAATTCTTGCATTGTGCAAACAACTTAATGTGCTCTGCTGCTAACTGAAAGCTTGGTTGTTCATGTTCACTCAGCAGCACATTGGAAGATAGGCCTGGTAATCTATTTACCAAAACATAGAGTCATTGAAAACCCTATGGAGCACAGTCCTACTCTGACATGTATGAAGCACCATGAATCCTGATATGGTGTTGTAGGATAAGCACTGGACTACTAACCTCAAGGCTAGCCATTCAGACCCACTAGTTCCCTGCAGCAGCTAGAGGGTTTGAACTGCTGACTTTTTAGTTAGCAGTTCAGTACTTACCACCCTATAACACAACACTATAAAAAGCTTACTAGAGACAGAAATTATCACTATGAGCAAAAAATGCCCCTTAAAATACCTCTCCATTAATCAATCCACAGTAGGATTTCCTGTTGTTTGCTTCACAATTATACTTGCTGGAAACTTATACGTTACTGAAAATTAACACTGTACATGACAACTAAAACTTCACTGTACGCTTGTAATTCTTTATCTTCATCTAATCAAGGCTAACGAGTCCTAGTGTGGCACTGCGGGTTAATGTGCTTGCAAACCAATTATTTGCAACACTGCAGGTTAATGTGCTGCAAAGTCAGTATGAATTGTAAGGTCGACGGTTCAAGCTCACCAGCCGCTCCTCAGAAACCCTATACTGGGTCACCATGAGTCAGAACTGGAAGCAACACGATGACACTTATCAACAACAACAACAATCATTGCTAAAGGAGCACTGTGGTTCTGTAGGATAAGCACTGGAATATTAACCTCAAGGTTGGTAGTTTGAGCCCAACAACCTCTTTGTAAGAGAAAGATGAAGCTCTCTACTCCTGCAAGTATTTATAGCCTTGGGAATACCTATACAAGGTCGCTAAATTGGAATTAGCTAGACGGCACAAAACAACAACAATCACTGCTAAAATTCAGAAATACAAAGCCAATAATTTTTAAATATTTATATCTCAACTAACCAAAATGTATTTTGCCTATGAAAAAAGAAGCCCTTTTAAAAAATTCAGACCAGGGGCAAGATTAACGTACATTTTCAAAAATAACTCTATTATTAATTGGTCTTTGGCGGTTGCCTGATTTTTTATGGGATGTAATATGACCAGCAGTGTGTAGTCTACTTTATAATAAGTTACATTATTTTGAAACTGCTGCAGATGGCCAGCAGTACCAATGCTTTGGCACTAAACTTTCAATTGCACTGAATGAGTCTGGGTCTATTTTAATATAAGCTTGCAATAGTGTTAAGAATAACAGCTGGGTCTTACAAGGTTTACCCTTAGCTTCACCTTTACCATTAACTTTCTGTCAATCCCAACCCATAGCAAACTCTGTAGAGGGTCTTCTGAAAAGTCACTGTTGAATTACTACTGCTGCTGACCTTGCAGTTTAAACCACCCTTGCGGTCGAGTGCTTATCCTGCAGTGCCACACCATGATTCTAACTTTCTGTACAGCTTTAAGCAAACAATTTAACCCCTCCAGAACTACTTCTTCATTAGAAAAATAAGTTAGAATACAGTGAAGTCTCTTAATATAAGCTCCAAAAATTTCATGACCTACTAAAGCAATTCTTTCTCATACTGCACAATGGGCAGAGTGAAACAACAGAAAGGATCTGGCTTTAGAACTCTGACTGAATACTAACTAGTCTGGAGTCAAAGACTATACTACAAACCAATCTAGAGGGTTCCATTATTGCTCTTCCATCTTAGCACCAAATTGACTGTGAGTCATACAGGGAGGAGGTGCATGAAGTTATCTAAAGATTTTGTTAGTTATGAAACTTCTAAGATATTTCTATAAAATTTTCAAATACTAAACAGAATATAAATGAACATTCAGGTTCTGAAAACAACAGGCTGTTAAGTGCCATTGAGTTGGTTCTGAATCAAAGCGATATCCTGTATAGGGTTTCTGAGGAATGGCTGGCAAGCTTGAACCACAGACCTTGGGTTCAAACTGATTTTGAATTCCAGCACATTAACCTACAGCACAATACCTGGACTCCAAACAAAAGGTAGTAACTTCTAAAAAAAGTATAAGTTAAAAAAATTATGTGAATAAAAAAATAATTCAACAAGGCACCATCATAAAAATCAAAGAAAAAGACGTTAGATTGTATGTAGTTGTTATTAGGTGCCATCAAGTCGGTACCAACTCATAGCTACTCTATACACAACAGAACGCAACACTGCTCAGTTCTGGGCTAACCTCACAATTGTTGCCACCACTTTAGCAATCCATCTCACTGGAGGTGGCGGGGAGGGGGGGCTTCCTTTTTTTTTTTTTTACAAAATATGATATCCCTCTCCAGTGACTGGTCCAAAGTATGAGAGACAAAGTCTGGCCAACCTGGCCTCCAAGGAGAACTCTGGCTGTAAAAGAACAAACACAGATCTGTTTGTTCTTTTGGCAACCCATGGTAGTTTCAATATTGTCCTCCAACACCATAACTCAAATACTCAATTCTTCTATGGTCTTACTTATTCACTGACCAACTTTCACATGCATATGAGGTTATTGAAAATACCATGGCTTGGGTCAGGCGCACCTTAGTCCTCAAGCTGACATCTTTGCTCTTCAACACGTTAAAAAGGTCTTGTGCAGCAGATTTGCCTAATGCAATACATCGCCTGATCTCTTGACTAACCAGAAGGTTAGCAGTTCAAATCCACTGCAGCTCCTTGGAAACCCTATACAGGGTTGTCATGAGTCAGAACTGATTAGACAGCACTTAACAAAAACATTTTTTTTCTAATTTTCATAATTATCCACTCAACTATTAGTTTGCTATATATAATAATGTAATGAATATATTGTCTGGCCTTACCTAACAACTCTGGTTCTCATAGTGGTGTTTGTTGGCCACTTGTGTTGAACAGATTTCTGTAAACACCCATAAATATATCTCAGTGTCCTGCCAAAACAACACAATTATCTCAGTACAAAAAAACAAGTGAAAATACTCACCTCATTGCAGCCAAGAACCACAATGAAATGCAATTGGCCTTTCCCCCCAAAGAAGTAAATTGCTTTAAGTATGAGAGTCACATTTAGCTAGGGACCAGAAAACATGTTTTTATTATAAATTTATTTAGCCAACATCTTAACATTTACTTTGAAAGAAAGGATTCTATGTTTCAGATTACATCTGCATTCTAATGAAAAGTATGAAACAAGTATGTATTGAATGAGGAGACACTATTACTCTAAGTTTCAGGAAGACAGATTTTGGCTTCAGATAACAAGTCAATGTCTACCTGAACATGGGAGGTCTTTAAGCAGATGTGAATGATTATCAAGTACACATTTTGAAGAAATTCAGGCATAGACTAAATGGATGATGTGTCTTTCACCACTCCTCCCCCCTCCCTCTATCATGCATCATACAATGCTGGCCTTTTATAAAAAACTGGGTTTATTTTATGTAGACTATTTCACTCTAGTTTAATTCACTCCTTTCTTTAAACACAATTCATCATATAAAGATTAATATGCATTAACTTTTTCAGAATTTAGTAACATCAGAACATGAAAAGTTTTCATACATTTTAGATATGCACATTTTCCAAAATGCAGATAAACAATTTCTTGTCAAATTAAATTTTTTAACTTACGGAGGAAGTATTTCTGAAGCCATGAATATTTTCTCTACAAGTTCTGAAAGTATGTTCAACAGGTGTGTTAAATTAGTGTTCACATCTTCATTTTTTTCTAACTTTGATGGACTTAACTAAGAAAAGGAATAAATCAACATAAGTTCATCTTGTCATCTTGGCAATGACAAATGCAAATGAATAAAGGTAACCAAGGAGTTGCAGTTTTTACCACTATTTCTCCTTTTTTTTTAAAAAAAAAATGGGAATTTTTAAATAGTTTTTAAAATCTCTGGTAACATCTTGTATTCTCATTACCCAATTTAAGGGTCCTGGTGTGGAATTATAGGATAACCACTGGACTGCTAACCACATTACCCACAAAGTTGGCAGTTCAAACCCACCAGTCCCTCTAAAAAAACCAAAGACAGAGTCACTATGAGTCATAACCAGTTGCATGGTACACAATGACAACTACATCCAACTTAACAACAAGCACTAATTATACAATAATTTCCTGTTGCTGCTTTGGGATTAATCCCAATATTCCATTCTATTTTGTTACCGTACTTTGCAATAAATTTTTACAAGCACACAAAGTTGGATTTGACTATATTTATTTATTTAAAATATTGCATTCTCAGCTAGGAGGCAAGGATAAAACAAAAGCAAAACACAGAAATAGTGGCCACTTCCTAACAAATCAGTTGCTGTTGCTGAGTGCCATTGAGTTAGTTCTGATTCATAGTGACCCTGTATAGGCTTTCCAAGGAGTAAGGCTGGTGGGCCTGAACTGCAAACCTCATGGTTAGCACTCCAGTGCTTATCCTACAGCACTACACCAGGACTCAAAATCTATTAAAAAGATTTAAATAGGAAAAAAGATTGCCATACAATTACTATAAAATAAATCAGTCATTGTTAAGTGTACTCAAGTTGGTTCTGACTCATAGAGACAACTGTATAGGGTTTCCAAGAAGCAGATGGTAGATTTTAATTGCAGACATTGTGGTTAGTAGTCCAGTGGTTATAGCATCAAAACATCAAAACGTAAAGACTTTTCTGAATGAGATGAAACTTATTCAATACAAAATACCATAGACTCATGAGCCTTTCCTAAAACTATGTAACTATGACATAGTGTCACTATGAATAGTTCTAGTTAATTTCCCAGTTCAGTCAACAATGGTGTTCCTCCAGGTTTCCAACACTAAATCAATTTATTAGTAAACACTGACATAAAAACATTCAAGAACAAAGATGTTTACAAAGTGCTACATAGAACTTTACTAGGTCATACAATAAATCTCTTAATAATATTTTCTCTACAAGTTCAATTTATGCACACTTTCTGAAAGCCACATAGAAGTAACATAATGTACAGTAAGGGAAATGACAATGTACGTTCAGAAGTTTCTGTCTGCTGTAACACTATGGTTTTTATATCCTAGAATAACAAGCATCTTTTGAAAGTCTGTTTTGCATAACATTTTTATAAATTAATTATAGAAGATATAACTGCTCTGATGAATAATTTTAGAACATGAATATTATCCTTAAAATATAATTACCTTTTAAATCATTACCTATTAAAATATGTTCTCTGCTGAAATACTTAAAACATGTAATTCTTACCTCACAAGACTGCTTGCTTTCCATAATCTTTAAAATAGAATCCTTCAAAGCATGATGAACAAATTGCGTAGCAGTGGCTTTCATATACTGCTCCATCAAGGTGCTTGCAAGTGTTGTGGCTCGAAACAGAGTAGTAGCTTCATCTACATAAATAATTATAAGTTTTTGTAAAGTATTATACTAAAGTGAACAAAACTGGAGATGAAATAAATTCATTTTTCTTCAACTACCAGATAATTGTAGCTATTTAAATGCTTATTAAAGTACTGAAATACTGCTTTTTAAAGACATATATCTATAGACTTCTGCAAATGACATTTACATTCATTACTTCACTAAATTATGAACAGGAGAAAAAGTTTCACATGAATTGTAACATGAAAAAAAAAAAAGCCTCAGAATGGTTAAGTGACTTACTAAGGTCAAACAACCTGTTAGTGAGCAAGGTCCCAGCTTTGCTGCCTATTGATCTCATGCTTTTAAAAATTTATGTCAATTCCTCAAATTAGAATACAACATAAAATTCCAGTATAAATTAAATTGTTAACGTAAAACACTATTTTGTTGCCATTGTTGTTTAGTGCCTTCGAGTCAATTCAAATTCATAGTGATCCTGTATAGGGTTTCCGAAGCTTTTTAAATCTTTGTGGGAGCAGAATGCCACATCTTTCTGCTGTGGAACAGCTGGTGAGATCAAATTGCGGACCTTGTGGTTCACAGTCCAGGGTGCATATCTAAGGGAAGTCCCGTGCACCCAAAACAGTATTAATGAGTGTCAGTAAAATTTGCTAAAACATGAATATTACAGAAAAGACCATCTACGTTTAAAGTATGTACTATCACTTAATCCATTCCTTAATATATCCATGACTCAATGACATTTAACAACAACACATCTATATATTCTACGATTAGAAGGAAAGAACTAGGCTTTACAGTTTACTTATAAATTGTATACAGAAATAAGCACTATTAATAAGTTAAAGTAGTAGAGGAAAGCAAGTTATTCTGGCATATTTGTTAAGACATTTATAAAGCACTGTGTATCCTCTGATGTTGCCTGGGAACTACCAATCTATGTTGTTGTTGGTGTTAAGTGCCATAGAGTGGTTCCAACTCATAGCGACCCTGTAATAAGGTTACCCAAGGAATAGCTGGTGGGTTTTGACTGCTGACCTTGTAGTTTGAAGTCCAGTGCTAATACTATAGAGCCATACCAGGAGTTCACCTATATATGGAAGTTAAAAATAAAATGTAGCTGACACTCAACTACTGTGCAGTGAATTAGTAAATAAAAAATAAAGAGTATTATCCTTGATAATCAATCAGTATAGGCCACTGACCTCAGTAAGGCAATCACATTTTATGGCTGTGTTTTAACATTAATTTGCCATTACAAAAACCTCTATGATAAATACTAGCCTCCATTATTAGCTAGCAAACAAAGGTGAGCCAAAAAAACAAAGCTCAAAATGTGAAGCTACTGTTTCTTGACACAGAATCCATCAAGGCTATATACCTCTGAAGGGGTGTTTTCATGTAACTCTTCCCCACAAAATTTCTGTTTTCTTCAATTTATACTACATTTAAAAAAAAGTTTTGGAAAACTCAAATAGTGTTCCTTTTTAATGTTCTTTGATTTGGGGGAACAAAAAGAAGACAGAAGGGGCAAGATCAGGGCTGAAGTGTAGATGGGGTAAGGTCTCCCAATGAAATTATTTTAGGATAGCCCTTGCTACCCTCAAAAAATAAGCAGGTACATTATCATGATAGAAAACAATTTCTTGGCACAACTTTCCTGTCCTTGAGAAAATCTATCAAAACTACTCCTTGGGAATCCCCCCCAAAAAACCCTCCAAATAGATGCTATAATCTCCTGATATGACCGGTCTTGAATTTAACTGGTCCAAGCAGATCTCCTGGGAAGCGTTCTGATTGGACCTTTGTTCTCTAGATCGTATTGGTCAATCCAAAGTTACTCCTGCTTGGTTAAGACTTATTAAATAAAAGCATCTTCAGTATCTTCGATACTGCTTAAAAACCACTGATCTTTCCACAATGCTTATAGCACCCATCAAAATGAAAGCTTGCTTAGGCCAAGATGTTCACTTAAAATTGAAAATGCCAAATCATGTGTGAATCTAACTTAAGTAGTTATCACATCAATGTTAATTCTTCAGTCTTCTCCGACCAGTTTCTAGACTTTTGCTATTGTTTTTTCATTCATCAAGGCTGATATTCCACCCTCTTTTGATTCATCTCTGATGTCTTCTCCACTTTCCTTAAAATGTTTGATCTAAAATCTGTTGCATTATGTGGGACAGTATCCCCATAAACTTGTTGCAAAGCTTCAGTGATTTAAGATGTTCAACCTCGTTTTGTTAAAAATCTGGTATTAGCTCTGACCTCAAAATTATTTTCTTTATAGTTCTCGGCAACTACTACCAACTTCTCTGAAAGGGATCACATTAGAAGATTCCATACACAATGGGAGATAGACAATGTGGAACAAAACTCAAAATTTTAAAAAAGACCAAGCTTACTGGTCAGAAAGAGACTGGAGAACCCAAGACTATGGCCCTCAGCCACCCTTCAGTTTCAGAATAGAAATCATCCTTGTGGCCCAATTTTCAATCAAGCAGTGGATAGGTATATAGGTGGACAACACTAGTGAAATATGCTAACTATGGAATGATCCACCATTGAACATCTAAAGAGCTGCATTTAACTGGGAACAAAGTTCAGCACTTGGGAAGGAGTGTGGGATGGAAACAGGAACCACATGGAGGGAGTGGGTAACTGCTGTCTCACATCAAGGGAATTGCAAACATTGAGATGAAACAAAGTGTGTGATATATTGGATATAAAATGGATGATATGCTCGGTAAACGTTCACTCAATTGACAATAAAAAGTTTCCAAAAAAAAACTGTTATCTTCAATAACACAAAAAGTATCCTTATTTTTAAAGGCACCTTACTTAGTCCAAGACAAGTGTTTTGATCCATCTGAGAGAACCTGTCTGTAGCCACACACTGTCCACAGAGACAAACTTAAATGCTTCTTGTTTGGAATAAACTCCTGCATGTATAGGAACCTTAGTAGCAATACTTTTTAACTTACCTTAATGAAATTGTTAAAACTAGCATTCCAATTGCTTTTTTTCATGAAGGAAAAATAGAAAAATAATTTATTTTGCAAGATTATTAAACAATATATTTAAAGATGAAGTCATCCATGTATACTTTATATATAAAATCTAACCCTATTTTTAAAATAAGAGAACAGTCGCTGGAGAAGGATGTCATGCTGGGTACGGTGAAGGGTCAGAGAAAAAGAGGAAGACCCCCAACGAGATGGATTGGCCAGGTGGCATCATTGATGGCATCAAGTGTGGCAGTGGTAGTGAGGTTGGCCCAGGATCGGACAATGTTTCGTTCTGCTGTGCATGGGGTCGCTATGAGTCGGTTCCGACTCGATGGCACCTGACAACAACAACATTTTAAAAAAACCATCACATAACACACTGATACTTTACCTTCCATGCTTATTTCTCTGTCATTTAGTGTACATAGCAACAATGATTCAAGCTTTTCATGACGAAATATCTTCAGCAAGATGCTAGCCAGTAGTGTTCGGTCTTGTCCACACACATGTGATAATGCATAGACTACATGAAGTTCTTTTTGTAGTATAAGCTAAAAACAACATCAAAAAAGGCTGTTAAAAGTATGTAGCATTAAGCATTTTCAGTGAGAGCAGCATGAAATGTGTCTTGAATATTCTTCTATTTATAAGTATGTTCTATTTTAATACATTAAAAATAGAATGCACTTTTAGCCTACATATTTCTAGTCTTTTAAGGCCAACAACATACTATTATACAAAACTGTATTTTTTAACCTTCTCTGGTTGTCCATTGGCTATTAAGCACTTAGATTACTATATTTAACTTCGTGAATCTTGTTAAAATGTTTAATATTTGTTAATAATGCCATAAAAAATAATTGGGCTGGTAAATAACTTAATACCTCTTTAAATTCACTGTACTCTTCTTCTGGCATGATTTTTTCCATGGAATATCGTGCTCGGACACGCAAGGATCCTGGTTCAATACCTTTTAATGGTATGTGGGAGCTGAGCAGAAACCATTCATCTGTGGCATGTCCTTTTTGTAATCGACTCAACTGGCAACGCATAAATACTTTGATAGAAAAACATCAAATAATTATTATCTAAAAAAATGGCACTATAATTAGTCACATAAATGAATTTTCCTGATGCTCAGTCTCTATAGTGTTAAATGCATTTTATTAAAGGAGTTTTCAAAAACATAAAAGATTCGATATTCATTCATTTACTGAATGCCTACTATGCTGTGAGAGGTAAGGACATGAGATACAGATATGATTAGGACACAATCTATGACACCATGGAGGTCAGTATAACTAGGGCGGCAAGAACTCAAATTACAATGGAGTGTGATTAAGTGATCTAACAGTGGTTAGTGCTACTGCAGTATAAAGAAATAAGTAAATTAGCCTGTTGTTGGTGTCATAAAATGCCATGGAGTCAGTTATGACTCACAGCGATCCCGTACAGGGTTTCCGAGGAGCAGCTGGTAGGTTTGAAACATCAACTTTTCAGGTCACAGTCCAGTGTTTATCCTACAGGGCCACACCAGGAGTCCAGGTTAGCCTTGTTGTTGTTAAGTGCTGCTGAGTCGATTCCGACCCATAGCGACCTAGTATAGGGTTTCCAAGGAGCAGCGATGAGCTTGAACTACAGCCTTGAAGTTCAAATGGCTCTGCAGTCTGGTGCATTAACCCACAGCGCCACACCAGGACTCCCAAACTATTCAATAGCCTTGGTGGTGGTGGTTATGTGCTGTGGAGTCGGTTCCGACTCATAGTGACCCTGTACAGGGTTTCCGAGACTGTAAATCTTTATGGGTGCAGAAAGCCTCATCTTTCTCCCGTGGAACAGCTGGTAGTTTCGAACTGCCTTAGGTGGTTAAAAATCCATTCCAAACAGGTATACCCTCACTCAGCTTTTTTACAAGATCTGGGGGTGTGGCTAAATACAAAGAAGATGTAGCCGTGTTGGTGGGGAACAGATGTATTGCAAACAGAAGGCATGGCAGATGCTTTTAAAATCTTCAAGTCCATGGACAATTTTAAGGACTAGAAGGAAGCTGTTACGGCTTTTGAGAAGGACATACAATTATACAGTGGAAGTGGAGGGTGTTAGATCAGCAAAGGGTTTTTCTTGTGTGTCATTATTAGGAATTTGAATTTTATCTTAAAAGTAAAGTACCACTAAAAAGTATTAAGCAATAGTATATAAATAACAGAATAATCATTTTATGCAGAAAAAGTTAGGCTTTGATCTTTATATGATTTCCTTCCATGAGCCTGACTTTTAAGATAGTATTAACCTAATTTATTCTGACATGAATTGCTAAAATACCCTGCCTACTGCTTCAAAAACAGGACAAGAAAAGGTGTGCTGCTGAAGGCAAAACTGAGAGTTTAACTACCAAAAGTGGATATATAAAATACTCACACGTCAAAGACTATTTTGTTTAAATAGAGTATTCTTTACAACCACTTTATAAGGGACTTATATTCTGTGTTGTTGTTAAGTGCTTTCAAGTCAGTTCTGACTCACAGCGACCCTGTAATAAATACGGTTTTCAAAACGCACATGGGTTTGAACCACCAACCTTGTACTTAGCTGTCTAGTGCTTATCCTACAGTGCCATGTTTTTGTTGTTAAGTGCTGTCAAGTCGGTTCTGACCCATAGCAACCCTGAACAGGGTTTCCGAGGCTGTAAATCTTTACGGGAGCAGAAAGCCTCATCTTTCTCCCGTGGAGCAGCTGGTAGTTTCAAACTGCTGACCTTGAGGTTCAGAGCCCAATTCATAACCACTATGCTACCAGAGCTCCTTATGTGTTATCTATGTTGTTGTTGTTAAGTGCCGTAGAGTCGGTTCCGACCCATAGTGACCCTGTACAGGGTTTCCGAGGCTGTAAATCTTTAGGAAAGTATAATATAACCTAAAACGTAGCTAAAAGGTAGGTGAGGAAGTACCACAGAGAAATACACATGTTAATATTGTAGTGTTATCGCTATTCTTAGGAGTGATGCATTCAGAAAGGTGAAGAGATGAATATTTTAAACATAAGGGATTACGTTTATAATATGTACAGTTTAGCCATTTTAGTCTTTTTTCATAACCTTATACACTTTATAAACAAAAATATTTTTTAAAAAACACTTAAATTACATTACATGCACTTATAATTTTCTTGACTTTTGAAATTTCTATAAAGCTCTGAATTTTAAAAGAACATACACAAAATACACTTCATTTAGAAGTAAAATTTTTTTTATCAACTTACAAATATCAGGATCTTTGCTTTTCTTTGTTTTATTACTAAGAGTTATTTCAAATCTGTTGATATCAGGAGGAAGATCACTAAAGGAGAACAAGGATGAACAGAATTAACAAAATATTCTGACATTATACTACCTGATTTGCTTTAGTTCTGACATCAAAACTGACTTATTTCTGCTAAACAACTTGAATGTCTTCAACTTGACAGTAGACTGAAAATATGTTTTATGATTTGGTATGCAGGAACACAAAGAGCAAACTATACACTTTCCCTACCATCTTTAGTCTCCTAAAGTAGCAACAATTCCTTCAAGTAAGTCCTGAGAGTGCTACTAAACATTTTGTGTAAAAGAGTTAATAAATGTTTTGAATGTATCAATAATGCTGATTCAGATTAATGACTAGGTGAAAAACCAACAACTCAAGGGCTTTGCTAACAAAAGTGAGTCAATATAACACTATTAAAACATCTGAACCTGGCAACTTAATTCTGACAGTTTAGATACAGAGGCAGAAAACAGGATGAAGAAACAATACAGAAAGCCTTAATTTTCTTACACGGAGTTGCTAGTGGGTTTGAACTATAGATCTTGTGGTTAGCAGTTCAATGCTTATTTTACAGCATCACATCCTACTCCTTAAAATAAAATGACTCAATGCAATGATAAAATGAGACTTACTCAAAGACAAACTCTTCAGACCAAACAGGGTTCTGACCTTCTCTTGCATGAGTTTTTGCTACCTGGACACTATTCAGGTAGATGTTACAATAAGGGTTAGTAAAATGTTTTACTGGGAGCTTATGGGCTTCTTCAATGTGTAAACCAAGACTGCTGACCTAAAGAAAACATAACAATAGTTACTCAAGATTCAAGATTTAAGCTGTAGGTTTCAAAAGTGATCACTGTGAACAAAAGCCCAATAAAATAATGTTTTCCCCCAATTTTCAGATATCAAACATCAATTCTGTATTCCCTTTTATGTGACCTATTATATAAAATTCAACAATCAAAGCCTTTAAAATAATATGTACCTTTACAAATATAACAATGTAACTTTACAAGTTATTTCTCCAATTATATTCTTGTAAAAATCCAGAAAGATACCATTTCCCACAAAACAATGGTTCACAGAAAGTAAAAGATGAAAATTAGGGAGATCATATTTCTATAAAGGGTCTTAGAGCTAAAAAGTACTTTTCAAAAACCGAATCTGTCTCTTCATCTTACAGAAAAGGATACAAATCCAAGAAGTTAAGTTCTCTGATAGGAATATAAGTTGTGAGCCATGTATCTCCTAGTATTATGTCATCTCTTTGACACCTACTGCTTGTGTGGCCTTGTAAAAGTCATCACTTCACTTTCCTCAAATGTAAAATGTCAACATTACAAGATTGTTATAAAGTTTAGAAACTATATATGTACAGCATGTAGCAGTATACCTAACATATAAAAAGAGCTCATATGGTATTGTTGTTGTTGTTGTTAACTACCATAGAGTCGGTTCCGACTCATAGTAACCCCGCACAGGGTTTCCAAGGCTGTAAATCTTTACATAAACAGAAAGCCTCATCTTTCTCCCACAGAACAGCTGGTAGTTTCAAACTGCTGATCTTGAGGTTGGCAGCCTGACTCGTAACCACTACGCTACCAGAGATATGATTATATCACATTTTACCGACAAATGACAATTTCATGGCTTAAGTATCACACAAGACTCATCTTGTTTTTTAAATTCAGTCTGATTTGCCATAGCTTACAAAATGTTACAGTATGTTTTGAGGTCTCATACAGATTATTTTAAAGAGGGAATTTCAAAAAGTTACTGGAACAATTTTAGTTCTATTTTTAACAAACTTTTTTGAGGTCCACTCATATGATTAAATGTCTTTAGGGAAGGGCCAGCCTTTTAATTACAGGGACTACTGAGTAACCTTTAATATTAACCATTTAACAACTCCTGATAGAAAACTATGCTAAGTTCACTGAGCTTAACAGGAAATTTCTATTAATAGAACAAAAATCACTTTCACTAATAAATACTGTAGTAAAAAACTAAGAATGTCAAAGTGTGTTTGACATTCTTCTTGGAATTATCTAGACTAACTACCAAAAAAAAAAGGGAGCAAAGAAATGGAGACTATAAACTTGACCCTACATACCTGAGAAGATAAACTGTAGCTCTGATTCTTCATAAATTTAAGTAAAAGGACATTTTAAGGTATCAATAAGATAGGGTTCTACTAAGAGTTATGCAAAAAGGATTCAAAAGCAATTACAATGTAATCCCACAAATTTATTAGGATTAGTAAGTCAAACGAACTTTTCAATAAATACATTCTAGTTCTCCTTTTACAAAAAATATCAAAATAATTTTTAGAGAGAAAAGAATATAATAAAAATATGCAAAAGACTACTTTGTTGTTATTAGTTTGGTTTTGTTTTATTAAGTAGAAAAAAAATAATCCTTAGAATTCATCCCCAAAACTGAAATCATGAATCAAGAAGCCAGCAGGTATATAAAGAACAACCTCTTCATAAAGAAATAATTACTTCGTCTGCTACTGAAACTAGTGGTAATATGGCCTTAAAATTCTTGAATATATAAACCTCACTGAAGAATTCTAAAGTATTTGAACATGTTACTTAAATAATTCAAATGTAAATACAACAAAGAACATAAAGAGTAAAGTGACAGAACAAAATACGAGCATTACAAATGAGAGAAAAGAATGTTTCACCTGACGCAGGCGTTTATTAGATGTCCCTGGACTACTTTTTCGTAAATTGCAAAATGCCTGCAGACCTTTCATCCAGTCCTAAAAAAAAAATAAAAAATAAATAACAGCATTTAAAACATATTATACATTATTCAGCCTTCAGACATCAGTTTTTAAATTAAAAACTTTTTCTCCACAATGCCATTTCTAAGAGTACTTTGTTATATTGGGTCCTAATAAAGTAAAACACTAACTAAAACAATTATAATAGTTCTTTTAAAAATGTGTGTATTTTTGTAGAATATCTAAGTTAATGCCAAGTACACCAAGGAACGGCCTTTAATTAGCCACAAACATATTCAAAGAGACCAGTCCATTCAAACAAATACGACCTTGGACAAAAAAATGTATTTGTATGCAGTCCTGGTGTGGCATTATAGGATAAGTGCTAGAGCACAAAGTTTAGTTTGAAACTCAAGGTTGGTGGTTCAAACCCATGACCTATTAAAAAATCCCATATAGGGTTGATAAGAGTTGGAACGGATTCAATGGCACTAAACAATAACAAACTGGTTCCAGAAGTGCAAGGGTTTGCAATCAGGTGGTAACCTACAGGCTGGCAGTTCAACCCCAACTAGTAGCTGTGGAAGAAAAAACTAGTGATCTGATCTGTAAAAAAAGGAAGACTCTATGGGGCAGGTCTACCCTATAAGAGCATGTGGTTACCATGAGTTGGAACAAATTGGTTGTTTTGTTTTTTTTTTTTTCACTGCTGGTATATATAAAGCTGTTACTTAAGGTGCCCTAAGGTATTTTTTAGATATACCTTAAAATATACATTAGACACTAAAGACAAAAACCACAAGAGCTGTGGGATGACATCAAGAACAGCATACATGAAGAAAGCAAAAAGTCATTAAGAAGACAATAAAGAAGGAAAAGGTCAAAATGGATGTAAGAAAAGACACTGAAACATGCTCCCCAGCATAGAGATACAAAAGCAGATGGAAGACATGGGAGATACAAAAGCTGAATAGAAAATTCCAAAGGTAAACTAGAGAAGACAAAATGTGCAAAGATCTGGAGTCAGAAAACCAAAAGGGAAGAACACGCTCAACATTTCTCAAGCTAGGAGAAATGAAGAAAAAATTCAAGCCTCGAGTTTCACTATTAAAGGATTCTCTGGGAAAATTACTGAATGACGCAGAAAGCATCAAAAGATGATGGAAGGAATACAGAGTAACTATACCAAAAGGAAATGGTTGATGCTGTATAGTTTCAAAAGGTAGCCTATGATCAAGAGCCAAAGATACTGAAAGAAGAAGTCCAAGGTGCACTGAAGGAATTAGCATAGAACAAGGCACCGAGAATTAATGGAATACAGAGTGAAATCTTTTAACAAAGTGAGGGGCACTAAAGGCACTCACTCAACTTTGCCAAGAAATATGGAAGTTGTGGTGTTGGAGGAGAATAATGAAAGTACCATGGGCTGCCAAAAGAACAAACGACCTGAGTCGGAAGAAGTATAGCCAAAATGCTCCGTGGAGGTCAGGATGGCCAAACTTAAACTATTTGACTTTTGTTGTTGTTAAGTACCGTCCAGTCAGTTCTGATTCACAGTGACTCTATATAATGTTTTCAAGAACCAGCTAGTGCATTTGAACAGCCAATTTGTAGTTAGAAGTCCAGTGCTTATCCATTTGACTTTTAGCGGTATATACAAATGTGGAAAATAGAAGCGTATGTATAAATACAATTTTAAAAATGCTCTGTATATCCTGGTATGGAGCTATAGGATAAGCAATGAACTGCAACTACAACGTCAGTGGTTCAAAGCCACTAGCTGCTACTTGGAAATCTTACATAGAGGCTTGGTATGAGTCAGAACTGACTTCATGGCACATAACAACAACTGTAAATATAAAGCTAAGTACTGAAATGCCATCAGGTATGTAGTATCTTTACACATGAAGAAGGGAAGAGGGAAGAACACTTGGAGAATAAGATACTTAAATTTAAATTTCCATTTCTAATACAGTTTCTAACAGTTAAAAATAATGATAAAAGATTACTAAGTGTGTTGAGGCCTACTTTTCCCATCTGCAAATTCAGGATACCAAGGCACTGTCATCAAGTTGATTCGGATTCATAATGATCCTATCAGACAAAGAAGAATTGCCACATAGGGATTCCAAGTCTGTAATCTTTATGGAAGCAGACTGGCACAACTATCTCCCATGGAGCAGCTGGGGGATTTGAACTGCCAACCTTTCAGTGCACAGTTGAGAAAATTAACCACCTTACAACTATGGTTTCTAACATTCAGGATAGCACCAAAACTACTCACTGAGACCCTATAAAGGGTTTCGAAAACATTCTAATTTTCTCCCTTGGAGTAGCTGGTAGCTGAATGCCTAACAGCCACTCGTCTGTCAGTTTGTCGTACTGTGGTGGCTTGTGAGTTGTGGTAATTCTGGAAGCTATGCTACTGGTATTTTAAATACAAGCAGGGTCACCCATGGTGGACAGGTTTCAGATAAGCTTCTAGACAAAGACAGACTGAACTACTTCCGAATATTTAGTCACTAAAAAACTTATGAACAGTAGAGGAACACTGTCAGATACAGTGTCGGGAAATGAGCCCCTCAGGTTGTTAGGAACTAAAAATGCGACTGGGGAAGGGCTGCCTCCTCAGAGTACAGTTGACTGTGATGACGCAACAAATGGAGTAAAGCCTGTGGGGAAAAAGCCTACAGGACCTTCATTTGCTGATGGGGCACAACTCAAAATAAAGAGAAACAGCTGTAAACATCCAATGAAAATCGAACACGGAATGTACGAAGCATGAATATGGGAAAATTGGAAGTTGTCAAAAATGAAATGGAACGCATGAACATCGATATCTTAGGCACTAGTGAGCTGAAATGGACTGGTATTGGCCATTTTG